CACATCTCCGATCCCTCAATCTCCCACCCACTGGATCCAGACAGCTGCTCAAAGCAGGGAAGCCTGGAAAACATCAGCAGACAGACCAGCAAAATAGCACAGGTCTGTCCGAGGGACACTTCCAGGGTGGTAACCCAGGCGCTGAATCTTGAGACGGGAGGAGAAATTTGCTCACTGAATCAAGGATGTTTCTCCAAGAAGGGACCAGTAGAAACAGAGAAGGAATGCTGACAGGCGGGAGCTGGAGCTGCTGGAGTTGGGGGGGGGTAGAAGGGATACATAGGAGGGGGCAGGAGCGTGAAATCAGAAATACAGGCTCCCCTTCCAGAAGGTGCCTGGCTTTCCCCCAAACATCTCATTATAAAAACTGCAGACTGCAACAAACATTGAAAGAATGTTGTAATGAACACCCACATGCTCGTCACCCAGGCTCTACAATGAACACGTTACTACTTGTCTGACCCCATAAATCTCTATCCCTCCCTCAGTCCATATCATTTGTAAAATTAGCTTCTAATTCTGAACAAACTGTGCTCACTATTCATCAGGGAAATGCAAATCAAAGCCACAAGAAGCTACTACCTGCTGCTCATTAGAAGGGCTTTTATCAAGAAATAACAGGTGTTGGCACAAAGGTGGAGGATAAGAAACCCTGTGCACTGTGGGGGGTGGGGGGAGAAGGTGAACTGAAGCAGTGACTGGAAAAGTGTGGAGGAGCCTTGAAAAAAACTACTCACGAGCCAGTGATTGCCCTTGTGGAGATGGTTTGGAAATATATCTGCACTCCCCTGCTCACTGCATGATTATAACAGCTAAGACATGAAAGCAAGTTGCAAGCCCATGAGTGGGTGAATGGATAGGAGGGGATTTGTATATGGATACATGTTTACAGATAGAATCTGGTCATTACAAAGGAGAAATCTTGTCATGTGTGACAACATACAGACCTTGAGAGGTTAAGCTAAATAAAATAAACTAGAGAAAGACAAAGGCTGTATGGTTTCACTCTATGGAACGTCTTAAAGAAAAACCCCAAACAGACCCAGAGGACAGTTGGTGTTACCAACCAGAGGCAGAGGGTGGTAGGGAGTATGGTGAAATAGGTGAAGGTGGTCCAAAAAAAAAAAAGTATAGCGCCCTCCCTCGTGGCACAAGGGGTTAAAACACAGCACTGTGAAGCTATCAGCAGCCCTATAGCACAAGTTCGATCCCCAGCCAGGGAGCTGACCCACACGGTGCAGCAGGCCTCTCTTGTCTCGCCCACTGCTCCCCTCAGCACAGTATTTCAGTCAGTCTTCCTGTTCTGCTCCTGACTCTGTCTCTGGTGAATCCTCTCACCGCTACCACCTCACCTGTGGCCTACACCCCAGTTTTTATATGCACAAATAAATAAATCTTTAAAAAATAGAAAAAGGTATAAAAATCCAATTATGAAATAAGTCCTAAGGATGTCACGCACATCACAGAGACCACAGTAGATGAAACTAGATTGAGTATTTGAAAGTTGCTGAGAGAATAGATCTTAAACACCCTTATCACAAGGAAAGATATTCATAACTATGTGGGGGTGATGGCCATAGCCTAATCTGATTAGGTGACCATTTTGCAGTATATACCAACACCTGAAACTAACATAATGCTGGAACATTCTACATCCACTTCAAAAAAAAAAGCAACAAATCTGAAAAATGTGTCTCTACTTCTCGCTAGACTAGTGTTAAAAGTTCCAAAGAGGCCACATTCTCCAGATGGTTTTCTTCCTACCTTCTAAATAACTGGGGGCCAAAGCAGAAACCAGAACACACACAATGACCAGAGAACTTGTCTTAGGATGAAGTAAACCTTTGGATTTCTTGGGCTTTTTTCCAAAGTGTATACATCATTGTTTTGGAGAATGGCTCAAGTTATAAAACAATTCCTGCTGTGAGGCCATGTGTGTCTGGAACTTCACAGGCTCTAAAGCCCCTTCATGTTGCTCCCTACTCTGTGGACACATTTCCTCTTCTGCAGGAGACTCGTCTCCTCACGGGAGGGGTGGGGGTGTGTGTGGATAACTGGACCCACCTCACAGTGTGAAAGGGACCTTGGACACAGAGGCTAAGGACTCACAGAAATTTACCATCGATCATAAATTTAGCAGTTGACAACAAATTGAAAGAACATTCAGTAGGTTTTCTCTTTGCTTATTTTCTAGCTTCTGTGGCTGGCAACAAAAATCCCAGTGAGAGTGATATTCCCACGAGGAGGGGAATCAACTTAAAAGATTTGAACCCGGAAACAATGTGACAAGCTTTTACTCTGAGAGAACCAGGCTCCAGTCACAGCTTGAGTGAGACCTGTAACCTGAGATGGGACTGGCTGTTTTCTCAGCACTGTGATCAAACAACGTGTTCAGTTTGGACAAGGGTTTTTTGTTTTCATTTGTAGGTTTTGAAGGGTCCACCTTCCCTGGCCATTCTAAATCCAGGATGTTGGTCCTGTTGTCTCTATATCAGGTTGTCGGGACTTGGGGGTAGTTGAACTTGATCTTGACTCTGTTCAGCAGACTTGCTTTATCTTCCTGGAACTGTCTGTACTCAGCACCAGGGTGGAGAGTTTGTTGATCTCATTTCCCCGGACTTCCCCCTTAGATGCTTGATGGGAAAGGGCTGGCCTGTCTATGTGAGGGTTTTGAACTTCCTTCTAGCTTGTCAGACCAGGTAGAGGATTTCCAAAATCAATCTCAGTTCTCGACTCCTAAAAGTCTCATTCAAAATTGTCTGGCTACTCTGACCATTAGAAGGGAGGTCAAGCTGCAGACACAGACAAGGCCTAGATCATCTGGACTCTGAACAGCACTTAGGACCCTCTATCCCAGGGCGGAGGGGACCCACTTTTCTGTTCAGGGTAGTCAAAGCTAGCAGCTAGACCCAGTACTCACACACATCACTATGCCCACACATGCAAATCATGCCTGTGGCTTAGCACACTAAACCCTCCTCCAGGGCCTATTCAGGAATCTGCTCTTGGTACCACCGGAACCCCCTATACTGGTAGGACTGTTCTTCCCACCTACGGGTCTCTCTCCGGCAGAACCAGGAGTCGCTGAGATTCTCACTGGCACCACATTACTGGCCTGGTGCCTGCTTCTGAGTCGCCTTGAAACCCAGCTTCAAGCAGTCTTTGTCAATCTGTAAGTCCCCTCTAACCATGGGGAAATCTGGTGACCACGATCTTGGCTCTCCTGCAGCTTTGGGGGAGCAGATGTGGCCAGAAGGACAGACAGGAAACTGTGGTCAGAAAAGGTACCCAAAACAGCTGCAGAACTTGGGTGATCTAAGCTGACCCAGGTCTTTAGCACCTCCCTTCCGCCCTTCCTCCCACCCTCACCCACACTTACTGGCAGAGATCCTTGCCCTGCCCCTCTTTCTTGTATCTCAGTCACCCTCTGGAGCAGAGGTCCCGGGACCTCAGCCAGCAGGGAAGCACGCCCAAGACGCATCGCAAACGGAGTTTGACTCAGGCGCGGAATCATTAACACTTGCTTTTCTGGGGTTTTCGCGCAGTTCTGACGTGACCGTTCCCAGCATCACACTTTAATAATTTCCCCCTTGAGAAAGTGACATCACTGCACAGGAAAGGGCCAGGTCTATTTTTGCTCCACAAGTATTCGGAGTGCCAGCCCCCACGCACTCCGCGCCTGGCACAGGATGAATAAATGAATGAGGGAATAAAAGCGAAAGAGTCCGAGGAATACAAAATAATGCTGAGGGAGGAAACTGCTGTTCGCCAGCCCCATCTTGGGCTGGGCGCTGGTCTCTTGGCGTCAGGGGTGGGGGGGTGGGGTGAGAGTAGGTGGGGGTGCTCAAACAGCCGTCCAGGGTCGGAACCGCAAAACGCGGAGCTTCTGGGCACTGGGACCCTGCGGTCCACAGCCTCTTCCACACCGCCCGGCCTTTGTGACGTCAGGGCCCCAGCAGCTGGGAGAATGGTTGCCTTGGCAACGTAAACCTAAGCGCTTGGAGCTGGGAACTGTCCCGCGGAAGCTTCCGAGCGATCTCTGGCGCGTGGGGACGGTGGGTGCATTTGGGGCCTTGATGGGGGGAGGGGGCGCGGGTCGGGGAGTGCCCTGTGTCGGGGGCAAATCGGTGGGGCACCCCTCTCAAGACCTCTTTGCAAGGCTCCCAGCCTTCCCTTCCTCATTCCTATACTTGCTTTACCAAGTCTACATCTGCCTGGTGCAATCTTCCTATTTGGCCGGTGGGCAAGCACCCACCCGCCAGCTGGGGATGTTGGGGGTCTGGCCCCGCTGACTGGCTCCCCTCAGGTCTGCGATTCTCCTCCTTGAATACAGTAGCAGGAATGTGGCTGGAGGGACTAAAGCTTTAGCTCAAGGAATCTTGGGCTGGAATGCCAGCTGCAGCCCTTCCTGGCTATGGGGCTTTGGACACCAGTCTGCTTCCTCGTCTCCAAAGTGAGAACTCTCGCAGTGATAGTGACAGCAGGCCAGGATGAGTGCATCTGCTGAGCTCAGAAAAGACCCCTGTTCTGCAGGAGCTTATATTCTAGGGGGAAATGACCGATAAACCAATTTTTTTTAATGTGATAAATGAGACAAGGAGTAATTGCATTGAGGAAAATAAAGTGAGGCCCTATGGGAGTGGGGACAAAGAAATCACCCTGGATGGGCCTGGAAGGGAAGGCTTCTTAGGCTTCTTTGAAGGGTGACCTTTGAGTTCAGAGCTGAACAGGGCAGTCACACATGCAAATGTCAGCTAGCAGACCAAGGTCAGCATGTTCTTGCCAGGGACAGATTAGTCAGGGCAGCTAGGACCCAGTCAAGGAGGGGAGAGTGGGTGCAGTGGGGGAAGGGAGAGGCAGGGCGCTGCAGGTGCTGGCCACATGGTTGGAGAGGGCCACCCTGTCCTCAACCACCCAGAGACAGGTGAGGAGAGCAGTGGAGTGGGAGGAACCCCCGGGGTCCATCCAGCTTAAGCCCTGTGTTGCTCCCCAGGCTGGAATCTCCTTAGCCAAGGTCAAGCTTTGCAACAAGCCTCTATTCCTCTGCCCAGATGCCCAGGCCACTGTTGCCTTTGGTATCCAAGAACAGGAATCACAACGGTAAGTACTGGGCTGGGAGCTCAGAGTCAGAGACACACCCTCAGGGCCAGCACAGGGAGAGCCAGGTTTCCTCAGGCATAAGGTGGTTCCAAATGAGGCCAGGACGCAACCGCTCAGTGGATTCCAAGGACAGCTGTCACAAGAGTCACCACAGGCCAGGCCCCACCTGCAGGCACCTGCCTCGCAGCTCTGGAGCAAATGGTTGGCTAGGCTGGTTTCTTCTGGGACTGTGAGGGAGCATCTGTTCCAGGGCTTTCTTCTAGCTTCTGGTGGTTCTGGTAGTCTTCAGCCGGTATCTGCCTTCATCGTCTGCCTGTGTGCGTCTGTGTCCCCCGTTTCTAAGGATGTCAGTCACACAGGACTTGGGCTCCCCCCCCACTCCAGCGTGGCCACACCTTCGTGATAAACTGCAAGGACCCTGCCCCCAACAGCGGCACATTCTGGGGGCATTAGGATTTCAAATATTCAAAAACATTCATTTGGGGCAGAGACCATTTATCCGTGACACTTAAGGGAGGGGGCCTTTCTCAATGTTGCTGCAGTTGGGGCTTCTGGCCCATGAGGTCCCCAGGCCACAGATGCGAATGGAGCGTTCACCTGGAAGCCACACCGCCCTGTGTTCTGAGCAGAGTAACCCCGGAGTGTAGCGGGGGAGACTTATTCAGCCCCAGCACCGCTGTGGGCTCTGGATTTGCTCCCGGCATCTGCTGCTGCTCCTGCTGTGACGCCAGGGCTTGTTTCTCAGAGCAAACTGACAAAATGAACCCAGAAGAGGGTTCCCTCCTCCAAAACAGGGCTCCAAAATATTTACAAACAAATAAACTCTAAACAAACACACAACAGTGCAACATAATTGGGCCATCACGAGACAGCTGGAGGCTTTATAAACTCTCTGGCTTCACCACAGGGTTTGGTTACTTAGGGATGCCCATGAACTTTGAGACAAGTGGATCATCTCCTGGGAAGTGACAAGCAAATGGGAGGTGCCCTGAGCTGGGTTGGGGGCGCTTGCATCTGGGTGGAAACCAGGCCAGCCAGATGCAGGCAGGGCTCAGGCCAGGGCCATTGGTGAGCCTGACATCTGCTCCTGCTGCAGGAGCTGAGGGCGAAGGTGGGGCCAGAGCCCCAGGTGAGGATGTGCGGAGCTGGGAAACACAGTTTTGAGTCCAGGCCAGGTGCAAACAGGGCAGCTGCAGCCCCGCACTGCCCAGAGGGAGGCTGACAGGGCACTGGAGACACACCTACCTGGTGTTCAGGTCCCCTCTCAGCCTCGGAGGTCTCCGCTGAGAATCGGGAGTAACCCGTGTTTCTCAGGGCCGCTGTGAGCTGTGGGAGAAACATGTCCGTGCTTAGCGGCCGCCTGGCAGGTACAGAAGCCCAGTCACTGTTGCTACCATCAGCATCTCCAGAGCTACTGCACCTGCACCAGCCTCCCCGCCCTCCTCCCCCCAGGAGGTGCCTGACACAGGGAGATGCCCAGAGAGCAGGGCGAGGGGTGGGGGTCCTGGCTGGAGTTGGACATCCGTGAAGGAGCCCTGCGTTTGCGCTTCATTCACAAACACGTGTTAAGAGCTACCTGTGTGCAGGTGTGAGGATTCAGGCCCCCTCTCCCACAGGGCTCGCACTGTGGCAAGGGAGGCCGCCACTGGAAAACAACTCAATTGGCCACAGCCAAGAAGCAGTAGAAAGGGAAACAGCTGGAAGCTGTAATTTAAGCTGGAGCTTGCGAGGTAATTTACTTATTTCTTATATAGTAATAGATTATCTGGAAGCTAGCAGAGTTTTAGGTTCCTTTTTTCTTCGTTCTTTGCTATTTATTATTGATGTGCTGTTATTTTATATTCTTGCTTAGTGTTTCACCATATAGGATTTCTCCCCTCAGGTGTGGTTATCATAGTTTTCCTCCCCAAACTATCAGAGTCCTCCCTCCACCATAGTCCACTATGCTCTGTCCCGTCTCCCTCCGCCCTGTCCACTCAGCAGGCAGGTGGGAGGCCCAGGCCAGACCTGAGTGTGTCCGGCTCTCCCTGGCTGGTTGCTCACTCACAGCTGTCAGGCCCAAGGAGTCCTGCGACCCTCACTTTTGTGTCTCTACAGAAAACAACCTGGACCCCACAGACCACAGCGCTTCAGTCACTGAAGAAAAACAGGAGAAATGTGGGAAAAAAGGCAAAGGTAATTCTGGGGCCGGGACATGACGTCTCGGTGGTGGGAGGCAGCGCTGATCCAGCTGCAGACGCAGCCCAGTTGCAAAGGGCACAGGGAAACGGTCACTCCTCTGTGAGGAGCTGGGTGACTGAGGCCTGAAAAAGCAGGAGTGTAAACCAAGAAGGGATCTTGAACTGGGGCTCGGGGCAGCTCCCTAAGTTTCTGCCCTGATGCCATAGCCCCAGGGCGCGGACACTTTGCCCTCACCCACGCCCAAGCTCCTCCTTCCCTGGGGCTTCCAGAGATCTCTGGAGGACAAAGCATGGTCTCTCAGGACGCCCCTGCACTGCAGGAAGGCGCCTCAGCTCACATCAGCAGGCCCTGCCAGCCAGCCCCCCACCTACAGTCACTTGTCTCCTCCATGGAGTGGGGAGTCCTGGCTTTTTAAATGAGAAAGGAAGGCGTCAGAGTGCAGGAGGGACGGGGTTCATGAGATCTCTTCAGGTGCCAACGTCTGTAGCTTAAACCAGAAAGGGGAGCTCAGGGAGCTGGGAGGTGGACTTCAGGCACTGCTGGATCCTGGAGAACGCTGCCACCCAGCGTGCTTCCACGGAAGCCTCCTGAGCTGCCGGCCCACCGCGCCATCTTTCTCCCCAGTGTCTATGATGGTTTCTGACAAATCATCCAATCCCTTCCACATGCCCGGAGACCTGGATTTCTTCGTGATCAGAGAACAGGAGTGGAATAAGACTCACTCAGTGAGTATCCGGGGCTGAGGCCTCCCCGGGCCCCGTCCCCATCAGCAGCCAGACTGCGCTTCTCCAAAGACCACTTCCCTCGGGTGGCTTCCTCACTCTAGACTAGTCAGCAGACCCATTTCCTACAAAATAAACGTGAACCTCTGCCCGGCGCTCGGGTCTCCACTTTTATCCCCTCTATCACACACCTTTGTGGGGTGGGGTCCTTGGAGCATCGTGGCCACATCTCAGCTACCACACGTCACGCTGTCCCGCATGTGAGATGGCACCCCCTCCTGAGACTCCCCCAAAGCCCACCGCTGGCCTCAGGGACCCTCTCACCTTGCCCCAGGGAGCCCCCGGACTTCTTCAACTGTGGTCCCCTCTCGTTGGGATTCTTGGGTGCCAGGTCCACACCCACATGGCCATATGCTCATGGGCACACACACGTGCCCCTTGGAGAGCCTGGGAGTCCCAGCACCCCTAGTGTAGTCTGCGCCCCGACATAACCTGCCCCCCCATCCAGAAGACCCTCGGACATGGCGCTGGAGAAGGCCCACTCCTGGCAGCACAGCACAGCCGAGCAGGGCTCACTGCAGCCCCCCGGGCGTTTCCACGGGACATGCTTTTGGGACAAATGCCCAGAGGCGAGACCAGCATCCTGCCCCCTCCTGGACTGAACGTCCACTGACTCCGGCCTCTGAAATTCCTTAGAGCAGCAGCTCCCAAGGTGACCCAAACAGCTGCAGAGTGGAAATGCACACCCCTCTGATTTCAACCTGCAAAGTGGGGGCCACCGGGGGAGTCTCCCCCTCCCCCTCACTCACCAACCCAGAAGAGGCTCTGGCGGCTGAGAGGGGAGTCACGCCACACCGCCTCATTGTCCTGGAGGCCTTTCTGTCCACCGGGGAGGGCTGGACGCCTTCCACAGCCCAGCCCTGCTTCAGGACTCCTCCGCCTCCCTCCGAGAGCCCCGTCCACGCCCCCTCCCCCCGCCCAGCACAGCCTCACACTGACACGCAGCTGCCACTGCGTACACACGTAGACCTCCAGCCCCTGGGTGTTAGCAGGCGATGCTCTCGGACTTGTCATATGCATGAACACGAACCAGACCCCGCAGGCTAGGTCCTACGCACCACACGTTTCCTTCAGTCGACTTCTCCAACAGTGCAGGGCCAGCAGGAAACGCCCTCACCCGAGAGGCATCAATGCAGAGTCCACGTGGGGCCTGCTGGAATGGGCAGGCTGGGGAGCCAGGCCAGCAGGGCTGTGTGGACCCCCAGGGTCTGCACACAGGCGGGGGGGCATGGTTACAAACAGAGAAGAGCCCCTGACACCGCCCTCCTCCCATACTGCATCCTCCCAATGAAGGGCCGGGTCAGGACAGAACTCTGGGGTGCATGGGTGGTGGGTGAGCAGGGTAGAGAAGACAAGGCAGGGAGGGACACCCCCAGCCACCAGCCTACAGCCTGCACCGGCCACACCATGGCGCAGATCTTGTGACCTGGAATTAGCCCATCACCAGACACTCAGATGAATGAATTTCAGAGCAAGGAGGAAAGGCAGCTTTCAGCCAGTCTGTCCCAGGACTGTTAGTCGAAGGGCCTGTGGTCCCTCAGCTGGAGACCTGCCTGCTCCTGCCCACTGCCCTCTCACCCCACTGCCCTCTCACCCCTGGGGAAGTTGTGCCCAGGACCTCAGGGTGCTTCACAGGCGCACAGCTCCTCAGCCTGCTCCAGGTGACACACTGGCCCACCCCCAGTGCACTCCCGCCCCCAGAAGTGTGCACACCCACCTAGGATGTGCAGGAGGAGGTGATGGCACAGAGATGGGCGGGGCTGGGGAGGCGGCTGGGAGGCTGCGGCCCCCTGACCCCGCCTGATCCACCCCAGGAGCGGCAGCAGAAGAGGAAGTTGGGGGTGCACCAGAAGATGACCTACTCGTCCAAAGTGTCGGCCAAGTTCACCAGCCTGCGGCGTGAGCTGCAGCTGCAGGACGAGCTGGAGGACCGGGAGGTGCGCGCCGAGGTGGAGCAGCTGAGCAGCTTCCACGAGAGCACCGCCTGGAAGCTCTCCATGACCAAAGGTGCTGCCGGGGTCAGCGGGCCAGCGGGCCAGCGGGCATCACAGCCAGGCCTGCTGGTTGTCTGTCCTTCCGGCAGGCCGTCCTTTTATGTGCAAGGAAAGGTCAAGTTGCCGTGTGGTGGGGAAGGGGCGTCAGTGCCTGGCCTCTGCCATGCATGGTGGTATACGAAGTCTAGAAGTTCCGAGGCCCTCCCACACGCACGCTGGACGCAGGCCGCGGCAGGGACAGCAGGCTGCACGGTGTGTAAAATACAGGCACTGGCCTCAGCGTAAAGGCAGGCACCAGAAAGACGTTTACCGGGTCCAGCTCAAAGCTGCCGCATTTAATGGCTTCGCCTTCCCTGGCGAGATGGGGACGTGTGCACTGTCTCCTCCCCCAGCTGCTGTCCACACATACTCGTGGGTTGTGAGATTCCAGGTCCTCACACATAGCAGCAGAACTGTCTTCACCCAGTAGGAAATCTGACGTCCTGAGTACCCACTAATAGTCTACCATCCCCGGAGACGATAGCGCTAAGCTGGAGAGGAGCCGCTGGGTCAGGCAGTCGGGCCGGGCCGGGCCTCCAGGTGTAGTGAAGGTGAATAGAAAGATAAGGGGAGCCCCCACGTCCCCCGCTGGCGCACATGACTGGGACTTGCTACTTTGGCAGAGGAACCCCTGAGCTTTAACCTTTGCGTGCAGCGTTGGGGTGGGGTGGGCAGGATGGGGAGCACAGCAAGTTTCAGTGTTGGCCCCGACCCCCATGACCGGGGCGGCAGATGGCGCCTGACGGTGTGGCTGGGCCGGGGGGTGTGGGCACGACACTGCTCCGTGTCCGGCTTTGACTCCCAGTGAGCACCTGGGTGCCCTTGAGGCAGGCCTTCTCCAAGGTGTCCGGGGCGGGGCAGGGGCCAAGCTGACCCCTGACCTGGTGACTAGACCTAACCAGGGCTCCTGCAGCACAGTGGGGTTTTCTGGAAAGGGGGGGGTCTGAGAGGCAAGGGCAGAGAGCCACACGGTTCGGCGGCGCTCCCCACAGCCCCGGGTTTTCCCTAGCTCCGGAACGGTCAGCCTTCTCCAGAAGAACGGGGAAAGAGGCCCGTGGCCCTTGGCCCCAACTTCGCTGCCTCCCTACTTGCACTGATGCTCATGTCCACTTTCATTTCCTCCTGCCTGGCTGAGACCTGGCAGATTTAGTTGCTGCCAACATTGGGCCCTGGCGGCTTAGAACACCCTAGTTAGAGATCAGAAAGTTTTTCCTCTCACTCCCCATTCACGTCCTGGACAGGAGGCCTTTCATTATTAAACCCACCGAAGGTTGGGGGTGGGGGGACGTCTAGGCAAGGGTGTCTTATTCCCGGTGGGAAAAGCGCTACTTGAGTTTGACATATGGAAAGATCCACCCCAGCCCAGTCTCCTGCCAGGGAGAACGGGGTGCCCCGAGTCCCCTCTGCTCGGGCTGGGGAGGGCCCTGTGGCCGTCCAGCATGCGGCAAGCTCTGCACAGAGTGGCGGGCTGGCCCACGCCTCCTTCCACAGCCCCTCCAGGCCCCAGCCTGGGTCTCTCTCCCACTGCCCACCCCCACACCCCAGAAGTCTCTCCTCTGGTTGCAGAAAAGAACATAGAAACTGAGAACATGAACGACTACATTAAAGAGAAGCGGCAGGCTTTCCTCCTCCAGGTACGCTCAGCTGCTCCCTGCGGCGGGTTCCAGGGTCCCCAGTGAACCTGACTTGCCTCTGGTGGCCCTCAGTATGCCGTGGATATGAAGCGGTCTGAGATCCAGCGGCTGGAGATGCTGGCGTCCAAGGAAGAGGCGGAGCTGGAACGGGCCGAGAAGGCCCTGGAGAAGGACGCGGCCCTATTCGATGAGTTCCTCAGAGAAAATGACCGCAGCTCCGTGCAGGCGCTGAAAATGTGAGTGCAGCCGGGTGGGCTGTGTGAGACCCCCACAGTGTGCACAGCATGTGCCCCCACCCCGCCTGGACCCGGATCCCAACTCGGCCCCCCGACCTTCCCCCCGACCCCCACGCCCCACTTCTGGCCAGCCTGAGAGCCATGTGGATGCCCCTCTTCAATAAGGGGCTCCCTGCCCCCATTGCACCCCCAGGGCTGAGAAGGAGACCAAAGCCAAGATGGAGAAAGTCTTCGAGATCCGAGATCTGACCACCCAGATCATGAATATCAAAAGGTGAGGCTCCCTCCATTTCTTCTCCCGTAGTTAAGGGGAGCCCCTTTGGCTATGAAAACTTCATCAGTTTACCTCTGGAAATCAAGCCCGGACCCAAAGCCTTTTGGGATGCTGCTGCCCATTTCACAGATGAGGTGACTGAGGCCAAGAAAGATCGGTGGCTTTCCAAGACCACTCCACCAGGAGGCAGGGCTCACTTGGCTCCAGACCCCCAGCCTCAAGCTGGGGGAGGTGGGGGCACAGAGTCCCCGGGCCGACCGCCACTCTGGTGACTGCTCCTGGGCCTTCCTCCTGGAAAATAGTGGGCACGGGGCTTGACCAGGAGGTACGGGCGATCCTGGCTGGAGGGCCTCCCAGCTGGCGGGGCCCCACCTCTCCCTCCCCTCCCCTGGCCTAGTGAAATCTCCAAATTCGAAGACAATCTACAGCATTACAAAGTCTACAAGGATTTCCTATACAAGCTGTCACCCAAGGAGTGGCTGGAAGAACAAGAGAAGAAGCGTCTGGCTCTCAAAAAGGCCAAGGAGATCTCCGGGGACAGCAAAGAGAGCTCTGCGTACTCTACACCAGGGGACAAAGGTAGCAGGAAGGAGCAGGCAGGTCCTGGGTGTGCCCAGACCCTGCACCAGCTGGCAGGGGACCGCACCCGTCCGTAGCTTTCAGAACCCCAGCCAGGGGCAGGCCACCCCTTAGCCCCCCATGGCTCAGTCCAGGCATGCTCTCTGCAGGCAGAGATGACTCCCAACTCAAACACAGGGGCCTTCCCTCCCAGTCACCTCCATCTTCCTTCAGCTACAGTCGAGGGGAGGGCCCAATGGCACCCCCGTGTCCCCCAGCAGTGTCGTGGAGGTCTGGCTCCAGCCACGGTCGTCTGAGACCCCTTCTTTGAATTTCCTGTAGGAGCAGACATGAGGATCAAGTTATGCTCCCGAGGTACATGGCGGCCCCAGGCTGGGGGGCTCCTCCCCGGGACTGGGCCACGTGGATACCCTTCCTGTGCCCCCTCCAGAGTGGCAAAGCCATAAGAAGCTCTCCAAGGGTCATCAGGGCCTGCGCACGGGGCAGGCCATGGTGAGCATCAACAGCACCCAGCAAGGCAGCCAGAGCAGCCAGAGCAGCCGGAGCCGGCAGGGCAGCCGGGGCAGCTTGCCCAGCAGGCTGGACCTCAATGGGTGAGCGGCTCTGGGTGAGGCAGCAGCCAGGAGGGACCCAGGCGCCGGGAGCGAGGGAGGGGCTGCTCTAACCTGGAGGTTACTGACTCAGTACACTGAAGCCTGGGGTGGCCCACTTGGTGCCAGTGGACACTTGAGTGTCCACTGGTTGAGGGCTTCGGATGGCACACTGAGCGGCAGGCACATGGCTCTCCCAGCCCCCCATGGGTGCTACCCGAGGGATCAGAGCTCCAGGGCCTTGCAGGAGAAGCCAGAAGTCTGGATTCTTATATAAGTCATCCAGATTTTAATGACACGTTCAGATCTTAAACCACACGGGAGACAAAACCCCAAAGGCCCACGGGCCACTCCCGGCCCCCCACTGTGTTTAAGGCCCTCCAGGCTCCTTGTAAGTGCCCGGCTGCTCGCTCATTCCTCCTCCCTCCCTGAAACTTTTTTGATTTAAATTTTTGATAGGGAAATCATGCACAAAAAGCACTAGTCTGTAGAAAGGTGTAGGCTGCCATCTCTCCCCCCTCAGCCCCCCACACCCACTCCCAAGCCCCAACGACCCTGGCAGCACTGGCTGCTTCGTTCTCTCGTGGGTCTGCCAGCCCGTTCAGCAGACAGTAGCCCAGGAGACGAGGGGGTGAGGCTCTGTGGGGTGTGGGGGTCTGGCTCCCTCCTTCCCTCTTTGCTCTTCAGAGTCAGCAAGGCCTCAGGAATCAAAACTTCAGACTTGAGGAAACAGAAGAAGGGGTTTGTACAGAGGGGTGCTGCCATGAGCGGCGTTTTCATGGCAAATATGGGGGCACCGGGATCTCCTCCTTTGCCGCCTCCGATTTCTGTCCCCTTGGGGAGGCTCCTTGGTCTTTTTCTTCTGCTCTCCCGAGTCCTTCCTACGTTCTGGACGTCGGTCCTCCTGGTAGTGCGTGTAGAAGCGCCTCTGCCCCGTCTGGGTGTGACCTACTGACTAACATTCTCTCCCGAGTTCAGTTTACCAATGAGATGGTTGTTTCATCCTGTGCCCTACTCAAGAAAGCTGTGCAGCCCCTAAGTCAACCAAAGTATTTCCTTACAATTTCTTCTGAAAGCTTTATGGTTCACTCCCTGGAGAAGGGTGGTGGTAGGGGAAAGGAGAATTGTGATCTGGGGGCTCAGGCCCCCCCTTGACTCTTCCCTTCATGAGGGCTATAGCTTCTCATCCCTCATGTGCCCCATCCTCTGGCCTTGGTCACCCCATCTCAACCTGATCCTGAGCTCCGCACCCTTAGATTTTCTCCAGGTTTATCCTCCCCTTTCCCGCACCTGTGGCCAGTCAGTCCCTGGCCCTGTGGCTCGGGGTCGATGGGGGACATGTCACCCTCCAGCTGTGAGTGGGGCCCCCAAGGACAAAGGCAAGGGCGAATCTAGATAGGGCAGGTGGGCAGCAAGTGTCCAAGGATGGCGTTAGAAGGAGAATGGCATAGAAGGAGGCGCAGCTGGGAGGTGGGAGCTTTACCACAAAGGCCTGAGGTGCCCCGAGGTCGGCACCCAAGTGGGGGGGAGCGGCTGAGAGGGTGACAGGGGCCTCTCCCGCCTGGGGAAAAGGCGAGTTTTATTTTAACCTGAGTGAAATGAGCCAAGTGAGTTTCGAAACTGTCCCCGGGTGGCCTCAGGGAGAGGGCAGGACGAGGCTGTGACTCTGCTGGAGCCCGGGCCGGGCCGCAGAGGGCCCAGGCAGCGGGGCGTGGGCTGTCCCCACCACCCTGCCGGGCCAGCGCGCACTCAGACCCCCGCGCTCCGAGCCCAAGGTAGCGCCCTGACCCCACGTCTCTCAACAGGTCCACCTCTGCCCCCTCGGTGCTGGACGACCCAGACAGCGAAGGGGAGGTCAGTGGGCCACTGCGGGCGGGGGGTGGGGAGGGCTGCAGGGCCAGCGTGACGACCACACACCCAGCTCTGCTTGCAGGAGCTGGCACTGTACTTCACGGAGCCCCAGCAGCTCCTGGACGTCTTCATGAAACTGGAGGAGCAGAACCTCTCGCTGATCCAGAACACACAGGAGATGGAAGAGACGCTGGAAGAGCTCAACTTCACCCTGAAGAACACCCAGAATCGCATGTGGGTATCGCACAGTGACCCCCCCCAAGGCCAGTGGGAGATGGGCCCCATCCCTGGCTGTCACCCTGGGGCCCCCACAGTGCTGGGAACCATGCCCCCACTATGCCCTGCGCCCCCCAGTCACCCCCACCCCCCCAACACACACACCATGGCCCTGGCTTTGCCACCGCTTCAGTTTTCTGGAAAATTCCACTTGGAGTCTTACAGGCCTGGCTCTGGAGAGACCACTGTCTTCTTGACCAAGGGGGCTGGGAGTGGGGATCGGTTAGGTGGGTGAAGCCGCTGGTCATCCTGCACCCGAGGACATCGGCAAGGACCTCGTACCCTCGGGTGTTCTGCAGAGCCGGCTGGGCAGGGGCACAAAACTGCTGTTGGGAGAAAGTCACCAGCTGTTCATTCACTCCCCAGACAGACTGCGCACCTGTGTGGGGTCAGCCCCGGGTCTAGGCCCTCCAGGATCAGGCGAGGCCCTGCCTCACGGATCTGACTTTCTACAGGGCCACAGATTTGACGAGATACTCATCATATGTGCCAGGAAGAAAACGATGAGAGACAGGTGCTCAAGTGGAGGGAGGCGCAGACCAGGGGGCAGGGAGCTTCTAGGTGGTGGCACTTGAGCCGGGCACTTCCTGAGGGCAGAGGAAAGCGGAGCAAAGAGGGTGCAAGGGCCCTGAGGTGGGGAGACAGCTCAAGGCTTCCGTGTCCCGCAGGGAGGTTGTTTCTGAGTGCCCAGGTCTCACTGGCCCACTGCCTGCCATGGGGCCACCTCTGGGAGCCTCCGGGAAGATGGGACGTCACCAGCTCTCGGGAAAGCTTGTTTCCAAGAAAGCTGGGAGGTCAGACACAGATGAGCTGGGCAGAGCGGGCAGCCTCCAAGTTTCTGAGACCCGTGAGATGAGAACACGCACGCAGCCCTCCCTGCAGACCCCGCTGCAGCCGTCACTGGAGTGAGTAGGCCACGGCCTCTGCTGAGCCGCCTCAGACCATTTCACTTCCTGGGAGTCACAGCCCACTTGTCTTGAATGTCCATGAATTCAAGCACTCTTTCTCAGAGGGAAAACAAAAACAAAAAACAACTTTAAAAATACATAAATAATCCAAATAGGGCCAGTTATGAAGAGAATTTGAATAATCTTCCCTAACACAAGCCGCCAGACCCGGATGGCTTTATCAGAGAATTCTATCAAGTGTTTAAGAAATCGTACCGATTCCTACAGTCTCTTCCAGATGGCATTAAACTAAGTTTCTGCAGGAGACGAGGTAGTTATAAGCCATACACACTTCAGGGTTAGGCTCCGAAGATACAAGTAATGCAACTCAAGGGCAAGAAATAAAGCCACCTGGTTTTATCGGGCGGGGGAGCTACGTGGGCATTTCTCCAAAGACGCCGCGCAGACCACCCCAGGCACGTGACATGCTCTTCACTTCCTCCCAGTGCGGGGTGATACGCCATCAGCTGCGTGAACCCCCCCACACCCCTCCTCTTAGACACCTGGGTTGCTCCCGAGTCCTGGCAGTAAGGAATAGAGCCGCTCTAAATACCCACTGCAGACTTTCAAGTTTGCCCAGCTCTTTGGGGCAAATAACAGAGAATGATTGCTGGACGGTGTGGCAACGGCACATATCATAGTTTCAGAAGTTGCCCAACTTTCTTCCCAAGTGCCTGAGCCACTTGAGTCCCTTTGACGGTACATGAACATTCCTGCTGCTCCACTTCCTCCCCAGGGCTTGGCGGGAGGGTGGTTAGCACCCACCATTCCAGCGGGTGGGCAGTGGGGGGCCCCTGCTGAACACGCATTTCCCTGACAGGGTGTGGAACAGTCCACACGCTTCTCCGCCACCTGTGTGTGTATCATTTTTGGCGATGAGCCCGTTCAGGTCTGAGGCCCATGTTTAAAACCGCGTGGTTCACTTGTTAAATCCTGAGAGTTCTTCGTATATTGTGGGCAACAGCCCTTTGCCAGACAGTGATTTTGCAGATATTTTCTCCCTGCCTGTGGCTTCTGTTGGCACTGCCTTTCACACAGCCGTGGTTTTAATTTCACTCACGTCTGGCTGATCAATCCTTCCTTTCACGACCATCGGTTTGGTTTTATCTAAAAAGATACCAGCAAGTCCACAGCCATCTAGATTTTCTCCTGTGTCGCTTTCTGGTTGTTTTACCGTCTTGTGCTTTACATTTTGCTCTATGAGCTGCCTGAGCTACTTTTTATGAAGGGCGTGAGGTCTGTGTCTAGGTTCTTTTTTTCCCTTCTGCTTTACCTGCGCCCCTTTTCTCAGAATGGGGGTGACCATTTGGTTCGGCCCCACCGGTGAAGTGTGTCAGTCTGGTTGTGCACCTTTGCACCTTTGTTAGGTACCAGCTGGCCTCTCCTCACGAGGATCCACCTCCAGGCGTTCCTTCCTGCCCCATGGGTGTATCTGCCGTCCTCTGATCATCATGCCTTGATTACTACAGCTTTATAATAGTGTGAGCCCTTCCCAACTTCCTGCACATGCAAGGCTGTTTTCGGATGTCCTAGCTTCTAGTATCTGGCTCTCAAAGCGGGGTGGGGGGGAAGGCACAGAAACGAGGGGACTGGGAAGGAGCAGGCTCCTTCAATCTTCTGAAAATCAGTGCAGGGGGAGGGCGAGGACAGCATCTCCTGCCCACCTCCTTGTCTGTGCCTTTGGCCGGGAGCAGTCAGCACAAACCCTCAGTGTCTGGGGGGAAGAGATCACCGGGCTCTACCAAAAATTGGGGGGCGAGGCAGGGGGACGGGAAATAATGAAGTCATTTTGGGGGGCGGCAAGGAGGGTTACCTCTGGGTGCCTGGGCACTGGTGGTGAGTGGCCAGATGTCCACCCAGTCTGACCAGGACCTATAAACAGTTGCCTTCTATTCCTAAGCTGATTCCCATTTGGGAAGTCATTGTGAACGACTTTTTTTTTTTTTTTTTTTTTGGTGGTGGAGTTGGTAGATGATATTATGGCTGGGGGCAGAGGATCAGCTGCGCATGCCCCATCACAAGCTTCTGGCTGTGCAGGATGGCGCTGGCACTGCACATGGCAG